CGGTGGTTTTTGCCGTTACCTCGGGCACTGCCGCCGACCCGTTCGCCATCGACGCCAACCGTTCATCACCGCCAAGTCCACCAGCAGGGGCAGTTGACTCCTCCGCCGGCTGCCGAGCACCCAGGGACTCCGAGACAGGAGCCACCGGCATTGCCTCCGCCCGGGACCAGCCCCTAGCTGCTCATCAGTCTAGACGAGCAGGGTCAAAAACTCTGTACGCTTCGCTCTGCATCAAATTGCTCGTTAGCCGCCACCGCGACAAGGAATCCAACAACAAAATAACTCCAAGGCAAGGATACTTATATGTTGACCTGTCGGTACACTTTTCTGAACTGGCACTGCCTTCCAGAGCCCCTAGGTGCGGCCCTAGGGTCGACTTGCGTGCCATGGAGTAGAGGTCTCGCAGTCTCCACCGTTGGCTCCTCCTCCACCTGTCACTCTAGGACTCCCCTCGCCTACTGCTCGGGGACTCCCTTCGCCCACTGCTCAGGGACTCCCTCCCCTTCCTTCGATTGCTCCTAGGTGTGCGTGTTACGTGGAGGCACCTTCGTGCTTGGAGAAGGAGCTACCGGAGCCCTATCGTCATCTGACCACTCGGACATCACCGCACTTCGTGTCCGGGTGGTCTGGTCACCGCCAAGTGAGATGTCGCTCGGTTTGCGGGGAACATCACCTGCTGTCTTCCTCTTCTTCTAGGCCGGCTCATCTGCCGCTGCCCTCTTCCACCCCTTCAGCGAAGTATTCAGCGGTACAGTGATGTACTCACTCACCATCCCATCCTAGAGTTGCAGATATACGCCGTCGTCCACCTTGGAACCACCGTCGCCCTTCTTCTTCAACTAGAATAGGTGTCTGAAGAGGTTGAAGTGTGGAAGAACCCCCAGATACGCTTCGCAGAAGTGAATAAAGATCGAGATGTGTAAGATGGTGTTTGGGTGGAGATTGCACAGACTAATTACCCAGAACTCCAACAGATCCCTCAGGAACGGATGAACAGGAAATCCCAACCTGTGCTAGAAATAATCCTTAAACACCACTACTTCATCAGTATGAGGCATTGGGAAGGGCTCACTGCTGGCTGGCTGCCATCCGGCGGTGACTCGGTCAGAAAGAACGCCTGCCTCCACCATCCTGTTGATCTCCACCTCCCCCATCCTCGATGGCACCATTCCTCCTCATGGCCCGCCTTCTTCGGTTTCATAGCTCCCTTCTTCGGCACCATTTCTCAGATTTGATTTGGGATTGGCGACGGAAGCGCGTATGGATCTGGAAGTGCTAGGGCTGAGGAGGAAGACGAAGTGGCAAAGTGGCAAAGGTGGGAGCGCAGGGTGTGGCGACACAGTTATATAGCACTCCCCTCACTCTTTCGCATTCGAGGGTTTTTAGGAAACCGCTCCCACGATTTGCGTGCCTCCGAATTCTCCGAAACCGCATGGTGGGCCGTTACCTGGGCTTTCGCGCAACTGCAGCCCGTATCGCCCATTTTATCGCCGCAATTTGTTACTGCTCGCCGAATATTCACTGATTTTTTCGCCATCTGTTATGGCTTAGTACTTACTACTGTACAACCACTACTCTGGTTTTTTCTCCAGGATTTGTTTTCTCCAAGATTTCCTTTTGTGGCTCGGGAGCTGCGTCAGCACTACGACTTGGTTCCTCACCGCACTAGGGACTTTCTTCTGTTGATTATTGTTTCTGACCCTGGCACCACGTGACCATGTCACCTACTGTCAGGCTCGGGGACTAAGTGGGCACACTTCACCTTGCGGTGAATGTGCTTCTTTCACTTTGGGGCTACGCCAGGGGACTGGTTGCCTGCTCGGCTGGTCTTTTACTTTTCTTCTACTCTGGACCCTGGCACCACGTGACTACATCACCTATTGTCAGGCTCGGAGACTAAGTGGGCACACTTCACCTTGCAGTGAGTGTGTTTGCTTTAATCTGGAAGACTCCGCGCCTCTTGAAGCCGAAGAAGACTATCTCTCTTTCTTGTGATCAGACTCTAAGTGGGCACACTTGGTCCATTGCGAAGAAATTTTTGATTCTGAACTTGAGCTCCTTACATCCTTATGGCAAGCCACACTTCGGTTACGCTGCTCGGCGACGGTTCACACTGCTCAGTGATGGTTCACGCTGCTCGGCGATGGTTCACACTGCTCGGTGGCAGTTCACGCTGCTCGGTGACGGTTCACGCTGCTCGACGACGGTTCATGCTGTTCATCGACGGCTCACAACTGCTCGGCAACTCACCAAGGTAGTCGAACCATGAGTTTGACTGCTCGGCTTTGTTCGCACTTGCTCAAACAAGCTCAAGACGGTGTTGCGCAACGGTTACAAGGTGCTCGGGGACTAGCTGTGGGGGGTGCGACCCTGGATACCCACGGCAAACCACATGGGCTGCGCCCCTAGGGGCGGCCTAGCCCACAAGACGAAGCCTTGTAGGGCACGACGCTGCTCGGCGCCTCCCGCGAGACACCGGGAAGATATCCTGAAGATACTACGAGATCTGTTAGGATACGTATGATCCCATGATTCCTGTAATCTGTTATTACTTTTCGGTTATCTCCTAAATCTAACCGACTTGTAACCCTGCCCTCCGGACTATATAAGGCGGGCATGGACCCCCTTCAAACACACGCAATATCATACGATAGTCAATACAATCCAACAGACCACAGAGTAGGGTATTACGTCATACTGATGCCCTGAACCTGTCTAACTCGTGTGTCTCTGTTGCCTTCTTGTTTTTTATTACACGCATCTCTGTCGATCAATCTACCTTCGTGGGATACCCCTCGGAGGACTGTCGACGATATTCTGTCGACAACCCCTGTACCAAAAGTTTAGTGAAGTTCACAAAATAGTAATATTGTGTTGCATTCTAGATTGAAATGAACAAATTTCAAAGAGTTGCAAAATAGATACCTGTTGGATAAAACAATCATGCAAACACCAAATTTGAACACAAGTGAGAGTTGTATTCATTTCATGGTCGTACAGTACATGTCAGAGGAGGTATTTATAGAGGTGCTAGCCTTCGTAATCTATATACAAATGACCATTTTACCCCTTTCCTGAATTAATACAACCCCTTTAAACTACAGGGGTGAAGTTGTCTTTCTACTTCTTCATTGTCTTCTTTCTTCAAGACTTTGCCAACTTGTTCTATCTCCTTCTTCAAGTATTTGAACAATTTTCTATCTTGAAACTTTTGACTTCACCCGCTGAGCGAAGTTGGAAGTTTGTCTTCACCCCTCACTTGTTTGCTTGTAGCGAAGTAAAACTCTTTCCAACGAAGTAAGACTGTCGTCTTCGCCTTTATTACTTGCGGGCAAACTTTACTACCAGAAATTGTCAATGCAACTTCAAAGTTCTGGGGCTACATTATTATGGAGACTTTTCCCTGTGTGCCATTATAAAAGATCGCAATCCCCTGTGTGCCCCTGGAAAAATTCAGCCGTCTTCAGCGCCACTACTACAACTTTTTCGGGTCCTCTATGCCACTTAGTCGATTCGAGGCTCTACGCCAAGTCAAGCTGCAGTGTGAAAAAAAGCAATGCCCTTAAATTCAAATATGTTATTATTTTTTTTTTGAGCATCTTAACGACTTCAATGAAAAAAACTCAAAACTAGAAAGTTGTAGATCTCGTCGAGATCTATAATTTTCATATAAAATTATTTTCATTTAATTCATAAAAAAAAATATGATTTTTTCTAAGATATATTAATCATATCAAATCATATTTTTTATGGAATTAAATGAAAATAAATTTTTATATGAAAATTATAGATCTCGACGAGATCTACAACTTTCTAGTTTTGAGCTTTTTCATTTGAAGTCGTTAAGATGCTAAAAAATTAATAACATATTTGAACTTAAGGGCATTTTCGTTTTTCACACTGCAGCTTGACTTGACAATTAGAGCCCGAATCGACGGAAAGTGGCATGGAGGACCCGAAAAAGTTGAAGTAGTGGCGCTGGAGACCGCTGAATTTTTCCAATGACACACAAGGGATTACGATCTTTTATAATGGCACACAGGGAAAAGTCTCATTATTATGGTGAAATCAAATCCCCAATAGCAGGCCCTCATGGGCGAAGGCCTACTCCAAAGGTCTGAGGCCTGTGAAGTTTTTGATTTGAAAAACGAAAATAGAAAAACGTGGTTCCGAACTTTAGAGCTAGCCATTTATTACCATTAGACTATGAACAGTTTAGTTTTTGAAATCTAACAGTCGATTTTGACCAACAGAATTTGAACCATCAGGTTTGACCTGAAGCCGCCTATATATACTGCGCTTCATGCCTCTATATTCGTTGCCTCATCGAAGTTGGAGAGGTGCTGCTCGAATTTTATTTTGTGCGAAGTCAACTTTGTTTCGAAGACTAGTGAAGAATCAAGTTTGAATTCTGTTACTTGATTTGCTAAGGTTAGTTTTGATCTACTGAGTTTTCTTTATATTTTCTTGATTCTTATCGATTTGTTGATATGTTTTGTTCTGTCTTTTTTCCTTTAGAGGTCTGAACAAGAGAAAGTTGTTTTTGATAATTCTCTATCAATCTTCGGCGAAGTCAAAATCAGATGATGATTTATCAGATATCTCTGGATCTGAGTCCGATGGACTCCGAGTGAGGAGCTGCCTCTGATTGGATCCGTCGTATGTTTTGCTCACCATCGGATGGTAAATCGGACGGACAATATATTAAAGGCCGACGTGGCCGGACGAGAGGCAAGAAGTGGTGTAGGAAAACAAATTGTACGGTAGATAGCGGGCCACACGCAGCAGCAGAGAGGAAGGCCGCCTCTGTTCCGTGGAGACGTGGTGCGTGCAGTGCAGTGCAGTGCAGCTCTTGTCCTTGCCCCTGCTCCCTCCGTAACTGGAAAAGGTTGGATAACTCCACCTCCACTCCTTCCTCTCCTCCCCGACCCGAATCGAATTCGAATCAAAATCAAAATCAAAATCAACTCAGCGATTCGATTAGCGGCGCGTGAAGCGGGATGCCGCCGCGCACGGCTCCGGCGGCCCCGACCCCGCCGCGGAAGGTGCCCCTCCGGAAGCTGCTGCGTGCGGCGTCGGTCGCCGGCGGGGTGCAGTTCGGCTGGGCGCTGCAGCTGTCGCTGCTGACCCCGTACGTGCAGGAGCTGGGCATCCCGCACGCCTTCGCCAGCCTCGTCTGGCTGTGCGGCCCGCTGTCGGGCCTCCTCGTCCAGCCCCTCGTCGGCCACCTCTCCGACCGCATCGCCCCCACCGCCTCGCCGCTCGGGCGCCGCAGGCCCTTCATCGCCGCCGGCGCCGCGTCCATCGCCGCAGCCGTGCTCACCGTCGGCTTCTCCGCCGACCTCGGCCGACTCTTCGGCGACGACGTCACCCCGGGCTCAACGCGCCTCGGCGCCATCTGCGTCTACCTCGTCGGATTCTGGCTGCTCGACCTCGGCAACAACGCCACGCAGGGGCCCTGCAGGGCGTTCCTCGCCGACCTCACAGGTAGGCAACCGTCCGTCCGTCCGTCCGTCCGTCCCACTTCTCCTCCTTTAGCTTGATTCATTGCTTGCTTGTTTGTGTTCCTTCATTCATATTCAGACGACGGAGAGGAGAGGAGCTTATTTTAGGATAAGAAATTATATAAGAATGCGATTGCAATTTCCCTTGTGCAATTGCAACTGCCTGGGCTAGATTTTGCTTCGATCGCGGACGGGACACTTCCTCGGTTCCTCCTGTCTGTCACTCGATTCACGCATCCGATTTCGCTTCCGCCGCACGCGATCCTCCTTCCTTAGATTTTTTTTCCTTTAATTATTATTATTATTAAAATTAAAATTTCGCCAACTCACACCTGCCTTCCTTCCTTGCCTGATGATGCCATGCGTCGCGTAACAAACAAACAAAGCAATTTGGCACATGACGAGGGGCCAAGCGAAAAACGGCCTCCGATATTTGTTTCTCTGCTGCGGTCCGGTCCGGTCCGGTCCGGTGCGGTGCAGTGCTCTGTTGCCCCTGCGTCGTCGTCCCTTGATCACATCATCATCACAGTATATAGATAGATGAATGAACGAACCGAGTAGGTACAGTATTTGCAAGACAACAAGAGCCTCCTCTTCCTGCCCCTGCCCGTCGCTTTCCCCTTTAGCACCAGATTCTTTGCTCCGATGCTCACCTTGCTCGCCGTGCCTACCTGCTCATTTTACACGACTGCCAAATAAAGCTCCAAATTATGATGAGTGGCAGTTTCCTTGCCAGCTGGCACGGTCATTAGCATCAGGTTTTGGCAGACCTGGACAACAAGCAAATAACAATGTGCCAATCCCTCCTCTCTTTTCTAATAGAGTGATGAGCGTAAGCAGGTCAGGGGATCGCTTTCGTGCTGTGCTAGTGGTAGGCCTACATATACATTAATAGTACTACATAGGGAGAGAGAGATATTCAAGCGTTACACCATTATTATTCCAAGCTTGGAATCGGCATCTTTTGCCAACAGCCAGGTATTTAAGGGCCCTCGTTAATAATTGCAAGGCTCGGATTGGCCTGTGGCTGCTATCAGCTTGTACGCAAAGAGGCAACATCTGATGTGACATTACTCTGTGCTCTTGGTGATACGACAAAAAAAAAAATCTTTTGTAAAAATAAATACTCCTAGACTAGATGATTGTTTTCTGCTTACGCGTTTTTTTTAGTTTCGGCTGTTCTGATCCGGGCTTGTGGGCACCTTAAATTTCTTAAAAGAGTTTTCCACTATTTGTTTATCAAAAAGAAAAAGAAAAATGACTCCCTTCTAACCCTTCATATGGCAGAGAACGACCCAAGGAGGACTCGGATCGCTAATGCATACTTTTCACTCTTCATGGCCCTGGGAAACATACTTGGATATGCCACTGGAGCATACAGTGGATGGTATTCGATATTTCCTTTCACTGTTACAGAGTCCTGCGGCGTCAGTTGTGCCAACCTTAAGTCTGCCTTTCTTCTTGACATTATTATTCTGGTGATTACAACGTACATGACTGTATCATCAGTGCAAGAGCCTCAAACTTTTGGAAGTGATGAAGCACAAAACCCAGGTGCTGAACAGGAAGCTTTCCTCTGGGAACTTTTTGGGTCTTTAAGATACTTCACCTTACCAATTTGGATGGTCTTAATTGTCACTGCCCTTACATGGATCGCATGGTTTCCTTTTACCCTCTTTGATACTGATTGGATGGGCCGAGAAATCTACCGAGGAAGCCCAGACAACCCAGGAGAGACCCAAAGGTACCATGATGGTGTGAGGATGGGCTCTTTTGGTCTCATGCTCAACTCTGTCGTCCTTGGATTCACCTCTGTTGTGCTAGAAAAGTTATGTAGGAAGTGGGGAGCTGGACTTGTATGGGGTGTCTCCAATATTATAATGACTTTGTGCTTCTTGGCAATGCTTGTAATAACATATGTTGCACAGAACATGGATTATCCATCCAGTGGTGAACCTCCGACTGGCATTATCGTTGCCTCTTTGGTGGTTTTTACAATTTTAGGGGCACCCCTGGCGGTGAGTAACAGACTGCTTTTTCTTTTTCATCATAATGATTTCTGTCCACCTCCAGCTCTATCGTATATTGTCCATGTGGTATATTCAATTCATTTCCTTATTTGCAGATCACATACAGTATACCATATGCAATGGCTGCTAGTCGTGTTGAAAATCTCGGTCTCGGCCAAGGTATGTCCATTTTGAGTTTGTATTATCATCATGATTGCACTTCTTAAAACTCATGTGTTTCTGCTTGCAGGTCTAGCAATGGGTATTCTCAATTTAGCTATTGTCATACCACAGGTAATTTTACCTTTGATGTTTTTTTTTCCTTGGCTTTGGTTCAGTCCTATACACACTTCGAGTCCAGTCATAGTGTAATTGACTCTCACACTAACCAGTAGATAATGGATCCGAGCAATCCTTACCCAGTAACATTTGCTCTAAAGTGATAATTGGTTCCAGAACCCATTTTTTAAAAATTGTTTATATTCTTAGCGTACTATGAAGGCAAATGATGTTGTGTCTATATCTTTTATTTATATAATGCCAAATTGTAGATAGAGCAGATTTTTAATTGTAACACATGGCCACATAGACAAACATGAGACAGAACAAGAAGCACAGTGAAATCACTAAGCGTTTGATATCTTCCTCTTGCAACCTCTTCTTACCTCCAAGTGGAGGTAAGTAGGCTGCATTGCACGGGGTTCTTCACCCCACTTTTCCTCTCTCTTTAATATAAAGATACACAACTCTCCTAAGCGTTCGAGAAAATAAACTATATAATTGAATTTTTTTTAATGCAAACTATATAATTGAATAGCGTAGAAGCAGTGGTGTTGCAATTGCAATGGCTGTATCTCAATTCTCAACACGTGGATTCCCTATTGGAGAAAATTTCACGGATAGTCTAGAATTTGGGTCATAATTTAACAATCTCCACGTTGAGTGAAATTCCCATTTGTGATCCAAATCATGAGCCCTCACTAACCAACCATGTGCAATTGTGCATCCAAAGTCATAGGAATAATCCATGCGTGAGATCATCTTTGTCTTTTCCAAAAGCTAACACGAAACCAAATTGAGGAAACAATTAGCAGGTCTGGAACCAGCCTGAGATATCGAAGTATTTGAACAATTCACAATGCAAACGAAGCCTCAATACGTGCTGCTGACCTCTAATTGAAGTGAAAGCAATGCTTGATAAATGATGACATGGGGCCAAGATAAGCCTGAGTCAATAGCAAACACCCATAATTAGCCTATTGATGAAACTGAAGGTCTAAAACTCTAAATTCTAATCAGCATATGTTGAAATCCAATGTTAGGTTTAGAAAAGCAATCAGGTTTTCACTCCCTTTCTTGTAACACAACTCACCAAGAAAATTGACGACTTCATTGTGATGGAAATTAGCTGAAGAAACCGACAGTTATTATATAATGTATATAAGCTAGCAAAATAAGCTAGATTCACAATTAAGATCAACCGTGCAAGGCACTGATAATTTGTGTATTTGTACTGCTACTGTTTATATAAAAAAATGTGGTCCACATTATATTGGTACAAATCAATCCCTGAAAAACTTGTGTGTATATAAAAGTAAAAGAAAACATAACCACTTTCACGAAGTTTAGCGTGAGCGTAAATTGGTAAACTGCAGCATGACAACTTTTGAGGGTAGATGTTAGATGATGATGCAACTTTTGAGGATATCACTAACTGACACCTGTTGCAGGTTATTGTGTCACTTGGTAGTGGGCCATGGGATCAAATGTTCGGCGGTGGAAATGCACCGGCTTTTGCGGTGGCAGCCGGTTCATCTTTCATCGGTGGGCTGGTGGCTATTCTGGGGCTTCCTCGGGCACGCATTGCATCCTCGTCCTCCTCGAGGAGGAGAGGCGGGACACACCGATAAGTTTGCTCATTACCATTACAGGCATCATGTGTATGCTTTGGAAGAGTTGCAGCTTGCAACAATTCTTTGCGGTTGGTTGGGCACATCAAGCCCGGCGCGTGGAAACTCTTGTGGGTTGGAGAAGAGCACGCAGGGAGCTCTTGAATGCTGTCCTTTTTGGTGGTTTGCATTGCCCCGTTGAGCTATTTTTGCCTCGTCTCCAAATCTTTTGTTGTTTAAATTCACATCGAATGTATGTATGTATTTGTATGTATGTGGGTCATTTGTAGAGAGGTTAATCAATAAATAAAAGTTACAGGAGTTACGTTTAGGGGCTGCAGATGGTATAAAATTAAAATCATTATCCTGGCTGATTATATAGATGGATGCTGTTATACGAATACTCCATGATATAGAGAGAGCAGTATCCCTAAACTCTTTTTTTTTTTGTGAACAAGTATCCCTAAACTCTGAGAATGTATGTATATATGTAGAGAGATGCTATGATTCTGGCTGAAGATGCTATATATTTATATGCACAGACAGGTACGCCTTGTGGCGTCGATCTGTGCTCATTGCCCATCATCGATCTATATAACCAACCATGTGCAATTGTGCATCCAAAGTCATAGGAATAATCCATGCGTGAGATCATCTTTGTCTTTTCCAAAAGCTAACACGAAACCAAATTGAGGAAACAATTAGCAGGTCTGGAACCAGCCTGAGATATCGAAGTATTTGAACAATTCACAATGCAAACGAAGCCTCAATACGTGCTGCTGACCTCTAATTGAAGTGAAAGCAATGCTTGATAAATGATGACATGGGGCCAAGATAAGCCTGAGTCAATAGCAAACACCCATAATTAGCCTATTGATGAAACTGAAGGTCTAAAACTCTAAATTCTAATCAGCATATGTTGAAATCCAATGTTAGGTTTAGAAAAGCAATCAGGTTTTCACTCCCTTTCTTGTAACACAACTCACCAAGAAAATTGACGACTTCATTGTGATGGAAATTAGCTGAAGAAACCGACAGTTATTATATAATGTGTATAAGCTAGCAAAATAAGCTAGATTCACAATTAAGATCAGCCGTGCAAGGCACTGATAATTTGTGTATTTGTACTGCTACTGTTTATATAAAAAAAATGTGGTCCACATTATATTGGTACAAATCAATCCCTGAAAAACTTGTGTGTATATAAAAGTAAAAGAAAACATAACCACTTTCACGAAGTTTAGCGTGAGCGTAAATTGGTAAACTGCAGCATGACAACTTTTGAGGGTAGATGTTAGATGATGATGCAACTTTTGAGGATATCACTAACTGACACCTGTTGCAGGTTATTGTGTCACTTGGTAGTGGGCCATGGGATCAAATGTTCGGCGGTGGAAATGCACCGGCTTTTGCGGTGGCAGCCGGTTCATCTTTCATCGGTGGGCTGGTGGCTATTCTGGGGCTTCCTCGGGCACGCATTGCATCCTCGTCCTCCTCGAGGAGGAGAGGCGGGACACACCGATAAGTTTGCTCATTACCATTACAGGCATCATGTGTATGCTTTGGAAGAGTTGCAGCTTGCAACAATTCTTTGCGGTTGGTTGGGCACATCAAGCCCGGCACGCGTGGAAACTCTTGTGGGTTGGAGAAGAGCACGCAGGGAGCTCTTGAATGCTGTCCTTTTTGGTGGTTTGCATTGCCCCGTTGAGCTATTTTTGCCTCGTCTCCAAATCTTTTGTTGTTTAAATTCACATCGAATGTATGTATGTATTTGTATGTATGTGGGTCATTTGTAGAGAGGTTAATCAATAAATAAAAGTTACAGGAGTTACGTTTAGGGGCTGCAGATGGTATAAAATTAAAATAATTATTCTGGCTGATTATATAGATGGATGCTGTTATACGAATACTCCATGATATAGAGAGAGCAGTATCCCTAAACTCTTTTTTTTTGTGAACAAGTATCCCTAAACTCTGAGAATGTATGTATATATGTAGAGAGATGCTATGATTCTGGCTGAAGATGCTATATATTTATATGCACAGACAGGTACGCCTTGTGGCGTCGATCTGTGCTCATCGGCCATCATCCATCTATGATGTCGTCCAGCTGCAGTTGGACTTGGAGCGGCACGCCGGGCGTGGGTTCGAGGACCTGCGCCTGGGGAAGCGCCTCCGACAGCAAGGCCTGGAAGGACTGCGTCGTCCCCTGTTTGGTGAGCACGGTTGCCAGGAGTCCGCCGGCGTCGACGTCGCCGTTGCTCATGGGTACCACGTATCTGGCTCGCAGCAGCCTGGCCAGGTCGACGGCGTCCTCCTGGCCGGAGACGAGGGTGAAGTTGGCTGGAAGGAGCTGCTTCACCACCGGCGTGATGACGACGTCCGCCCGCAGCCGCTTGTCCTCCAGGAAGGACCTGTCGTAGACGCAGTGCGGCTCGTAGTAGAGGAGGCCGGGGCCGCTCTCATCACCATCACCTGCACCTGCACCTGCGGCGGCCATGAGGATGTAGCCGTTCTCGGGGCGCTGCCACGGCGGCCCCAGGACGGGGCCTGCGGTGGCCAGCACCCGGACCTGCTGGTTGACGACGGTGGACTGGCCGGGGTCGAGGTAGGTGACACGGCGGAAGGGCGTGGGCAGGGAGTCGAGCACTGGCTGCGCGTTGGGGGTGGTCACCACCGGCAGGTCAGGCGCCCTGGCGGACAGCTGCGTCAGCGTCCGGACGTGGCAGTGGTCGTCCAGGCTCTGCGTGATGAGCAGCAGGTCCGGCCTCGCCTCCGGCGCCAGCAGGTCGTCCACCCCGAGGGCCTTCACCTTGGGATTCTTCTTGGCGCCGTCGAACAGCCAGGGCGCGCCGAAGTCGAGGTTGCCGACGACCAGGGGATCCACCAGGATGCGCACAGGGGCTTGGGCTTGGCCTTGCTGCTGCACCTCCCACACCCAGCTGTTGATCTCCAGGTACGTCAGCTTCAGCGTCACCTGCTGCTTGCTCTCGCGGATGGCGGTGCTGGAGGATTGCAGTTGCTGGGGCCGCCGGGACCGGGAGGATGGAGACGATGACCCGCCGCCGGCTGCGGCTGCTACAATTGATCTTGGATCTGGAGGACGCCGGCTCCAAGCCGGAGGTGCTGATGAGAGACGACGATGGCAAGGAGCGGCTGGCTTAGTGGGGCGGAAGACCAGCTGCAGGCGGACGGCCGTGGCCATCGATGACGATGGAATGCAAAATCCGGTCCGGCCGGGAATTGGAGGAGGTACGATGGGTGGTGTACAGCAGTAGTAGTGGACTCCATCAGTTCCCACCACCAGGAAAAGATGTCACAGACAAGTGGTTCTGGTGGCCTAGGCTATAACACGTGTTCCGTCTCGAGCACTTTCCTGCTTTTTCTTGGTCAATCGTCGGCTACAGGCCCGCCCGCCTCACGCTTCGGCTTCCCTGCACAGACCCACGCCGCATCCGACCGTGCTCTTCTGGTTCTGGGTGACTGGTGAGGATCAGGATTCAGGAGGCTAGAGAAGTGCACAGGAGAGAGAACGAGTGGACGATGGTTGGGCGGATTCTTAGCCCTACTACTTACTGATAGAAGAAACATGTGTGCGTGCAGTGGGGTTTTGGGCTTGGTGGTGGCGGATAAGGGAGGAGGACCGCATGCAAGGGATTTTTTCTCTCTCTTTTTTTGCTTGTTTGGTCTGTCCGTCTATGCTTAATGCGCATTGAAAAAATATATTTTTACGAAATTTGCAGCTTAGTTTGATGATTAATCCACTATGAAAATTATAGTTTGTCAGGCAAGCAGCTTGCTCTGCTTCTACGATATCTAAACGACGTTGACCTTAAATTTTTGTGACGTGTCAACAGCACAAGCTGTTCTCAGTTTCTCAGCCCTCCTCCTGCGCAAATGCAGCCACAACTGTCAGAGACTTTACTAGTTTACTTGATTGGAAAAGTTAAAGTTGAGCCGGTCACTCTGGGTTGTCGCGAAAGCTACACACCACTAGTATTAGAGATTTCAGTTATATAGTAATAAAGAAGTACGTATACAATCGGCAAGGCAAACCAGTAGTACGTACAAAGCAGAAAGCGAGAAAAGCACTGCTACTGGAGTAGCCGTGGCAGTATTATTTCGCAAAACATTTAACGGTGGCGGCTCCGGGTCTTGACGGCCCAAAATGCTGCAATGCTTCTTCGTCTTCTCGTCCACAGCAGCGGAGCTCGCAGCAGCTGTCGTGGGTGCTCCTCCCCTCGTGGTCACTCCCAGGAGCCTAGAGCAGGAACCCGGTGAGCGCGCACCCGGCATGGACGATGCCGACGGCGAAGAACAGGACCACCGACGCGCCGAGCAGCATGAGCGGAAGCTGGTAGTGGGCCGGGCGTGGACCTGCCATGGATTTTGCTTGCGTTGCGTGGGATACCGTGCTTGACCTGCCTGGTACGTTGTCGCCGTTATCGGTCATGTTCGCTTCTCCTATAAATCATACTTTTCAGTTTATTTTCTAGCCGGAATAATGTTTTTCTCTCACAACAAATCAGTCGGAACAATATTTCAATTTATTTTTTCAGCGAAACGAACGGGAACATTATATAGACGCTGAACCGCGATTCCGCCGACGGACGGATGGAAAGAACCGGTTTCACGGAGCAATGGCCCACAGGTGAACAAGGGTCAGGGATAAAATACGCAACTAACCATTATCATTAAGGACTGATAATATAATAATTCTTTATCTCTTACATGTTTTCTATTTCACATGTTATGAATTCCTATTCCTATGTTCCAAGTCATATCCATCCACGGGCGGCCGCCAACATGCCCGGACTTCCACTATTGTGTGTGTTAAATTATGATTAATTTAGCATCGTTGTTAATTTAGTATTTGTTTTAATTCCTCATCGATTACAAAAACTAAAAGTGTTTCAATTTTTTCATTCAACTTTGATAGTTGACCCTTGCATAGTAACTTGAGAAGTATAACGTGTATCCAAAGAAATAGATATCCTCATCACTACTAGACTTTGTTAGGCCATCTGGATGGCACATACAAAGCAAACTATCATCCTAGCTGGCTCAAAAGCATGCATACCGGAGAAAAGCGAATCTTTTGATGAATCAACTCAAGATCTTTGCACAGGTTCATGCTGAGTACTATAGTCTAGATGGTCCCATATGTAAGAGCCTAGTAGGGGATGGTGGCTTTACTTTCTACTTTTCTTTTATTAGTGGGTCCCAATTTGTCCCACGAAGCCAAAAAGTATATAAGTGTTATTATCCGAATTTACTTCCACCCCAACTCACATCTCTCGAAGCTAGGCAAAATGTATATAAGTGTTATTATGTGTTAATTTTTCATACATTTTAACTAAGCTATCATACATTTTAATTTTTTCCATCGATGAAAATGAAAAAAAAGTGTATTAAGTATTGTTATGTGTGTTAATCAATTCTTTATTATGTATGCTATTTAGAGATCGCCTCCACTTCCACTATTTAAAAGGGATACTCCCTTCATCCACAAAAGAATGCAATTCTAAACATAACACTATGTTAAATATCTTGAGTCTTGTTCAAAAAAAAATCTTAAGAGTCTGACTAACTATAAATATAAAAGTATCAAAATTTATAATATAAAATAAATATCATTAAATTTGTCATGCTATACTTATTTGGAGTAGTATATAGTTGGTCAAACTTTAACACTTTAACCAAAAATGTATAGAGTTATATTCTTTGTTGAATAGAGGTAATACTTGTTCTGAAAATAATGTAACTCTAGATGCATTCTCAATTAAAATGTTCAAAGTTTGACTAAATACATATAAAAATAGTATTGTTTTTATATGATATAAATATTATTATAAAAATATATCTAATGATATTTATTTGATATCATAATTATTTTATAAATCTTTGTGTATAATTAGTCAAAATTCTTTTGAAGATGGAGGGAATAGTTGATAATTTAGCAGTTGTGACGATACACACGAGGTATATTCGACTCGATCGGTTTGGCTGGGTTCCATGTATCATCAGTGCCAAACTGCGAATCCAGCTAGGATGAGCAGATCTGTTTTTTGTTATAGTGGCGGACCCAAATGGGTAGTCCAGTAGGCTGGGACTACCATGCCACGGGCAACTTCGCCAAGGACTCGTGGGCGCATCCATGGCCGTCCGTGGTCGACCTCCTTCCACCCTCCCGTGGGGGGGCAGGCTGGCCGGCCAGCAATGGGAAGGAGTCTGAGCCGATGGATGAGCCGGGTGGCTGCAACTGGCCGTGGCTGCTGGCGGAGGGGTTCGGAGTTGGGAGATCGGGAGCTCGAGATGGAGTTCGCCCATGCGGTGGCGGCAGTGGATGGAGGCTTTGGGGAGAGGAGAGGGTTCGGGATGGGCGGAGCGGTTGCGACGATGTGGTTGTTCTTGATCTTGGGCGGGATTTATGGACGCGGAGGCGAGGAGGAGGAAGGGCTAGGTCGTGGAGCTCATTGTCAATGGCGCCGCGATTGATTGATGCTGTGCGCACGGGAGAGTGGGTCGGAAGCGAGCGAGCTGCGTTAGGCGTAGTCGTGGTGGTGGATTTGGCCTTGATAGCGAGGAGGGGGGGCTGGCTCACGTGGTGCTCGGTCCGCGGACTTGGTCGCGTGGGGCGGCCTCGTCGCACGGGCACCGACGATGGCGGAGGCGACAGCGAGAGGTAGGGGAAGAGCCTGACAGGTAGGCCCGCTGGACAGTGACTGAGTGAGAGAAGGACTTGGGCTGATTGGATCTATAGTCACTGAACTTTTTTAGATTTTATTGTAATTTTTTTGGTCAGCGAATTTTTTCAGATTTTATTGTATTGTGTTGAAAAAATTTGATTAGGACTACCCTCGTTTTAAATCCTGGGTCCACCACTGTTTTGTTATATATATATTTGTTGTACGTAGCTGCAGACACGACACGACAGGATAGGTGTTTGAGAAATTAACATTATCATCGTCGTCTTCCTTTTTTTTTACAACAGTCGTCTTCCTCTTTGCTTGTTCGCTTGGTCAAACAAGCAACATCAGATGATGCGATGCATTGATAGTCTCTCCCTGTCCGTACAGGGCGGCTCGGGGGCGACCCCGGCCACCACCGCCGCCCCCCTCCCCGCCGGCTTCCCGGCCGCCGCTGCCGCCCCCTAGCTAGCGGCGGCGGTGGCCCGCTGCGGGCGCTCAAAAAGGCTTCCCGCAGCAGCTCCCCTCCCCCTCTCGCCTCTCCCTTCCTCTCCACTTCTCTTTCCCCTCCGCACTTCGAACTACCGGCAGCTAGGGTGGTTGCCGGCGAGCTTGGGGGCTCGGATCTAGGGTCTCTGGGCACGGATCCGGCCACGGGCGGCTGAGCGGGCGCGAATCTGGGGTTGCCGCTGCTACGGCAACCTGGCGAAGGCCGACGGGGCTGGATTTCGCAACTACGGCGCGCGCGGCTCAGGTGAGCCGTTGCGCGGCGTCTGGGTTGGTCCGCGGGTCTTGCCCGGCGCCCTGCTCTAGCTTCCTTGAGTCGTGGAGGCCCACGACTTCTAGGTGGTCTCCTTGGGCGTCGTTAGGTGCGGTGTTTGGGCGGCGGCGCGGCTCACTTCCCCTCCCCGGACCCCCCGGACATCCTCGTCTGCTCCAGGCGCATGGAGCAGATCTGGGGGCGCTAGGTGCTGGGCTTCTGCTGGCGCCGTGTCCATGATCGTGTGGAGCGGTGTGCGGCGCTGGCGGGTTTGGGCGGCTGCGTGCACGTACGCCGTGTTGCCCCGGCGGCTCAAGTTCCTGGACAGCGTCGCTCTCCAGACGCGGATGTTGGAGCGCGCGTGAGTCAGGGACGCCACCCTCTTTCGGCCTCCATCCTCGGCGCCCCCCGTGGCAGTGGCCCTAGACTCGCCCTCAGCTAGCATCCGGCGCAGACTAACCTGTGGATCTAGCCGGGCAGGGGCGGGGCAACCCGTGCCTGTGGGGGTCGGTGGCCGAGGCCAGGGGACACCCCAGCGGGCGTGGTCGAACAAGCTCCTGGGTGAAAACTCTGCCCAGCTTCTCGCTTCGGGCCGGCGGTGGTGGCGCAGCCTGCGTCATCCACCTTCTTGAAGGCGTCGTCGAAGGATCAGTTCGTTGCGCGAGTTGTTGGGGCTTGTTCTGGGGACAAAAGTCCTTCTTGTGCCCTCTTCAACGTTGTTGGTGTATGTGGACGTCATTCCCTCCTTGGAGTCTA